CATGATCCACACCCGTTTGTTTCTGCGCATGAAGATCAAGAAGGCCATCATTTCGATCTGGAGAATGTAAAGCTTCTAGCACATGAAAGTACATAACATGCGAGGGCGTTTTTGGAAGCCTGCTACTCTATGACGAATTCAATCAATCGACACATCGAACTGGACGCAGTATACGCAAAAATACTGGCGAATGACCGACAACTCGGTCGATTGAATCCGACGGAACGTGTGACTAGATCACCAGTACGGAGGACAGACCCACTCACAAGAGCAAGCAAACAAAGGCCACGAAGTACAAGGGGTCAAGTTCAAAGATAACCTGCCCATCAAGCCAGCTGAACGCGGATCGAATTCCCAGCCAATAGGATTGCTCGTCTCCACGGGTAACCACTGCGATATAAAAACGCACGCACACCACTCTCAGCGCACTCTCACCGAGGCTCCTCTACGGTACTCTTTGCTATCGCATGCCACTCAACTACGAACTGATGATGTCACCTCGATTAGTGACGAAACGTTTGCAACCAAATTGCCAAGCTCAGCGAACAATTCAACCGCCATCCGAACAACCTCAGTTACCCGCCTTCAATGGTATATCCAATCAGTTTTAGAACAGAATGTCGTCCCTTAAATAAGTCCACATGTGACAATGGCCATTTTCTTCCTTCAGCTCGAGCTAAGAAGATAGTTGACTGCCTTGAATTTGCCCTAACGTCAAGTAATCGATAATGTAAAATATCAGTTTAATTGATCGTTTGACGAAAGCTTTGGGTGCTCGGAGTCTTCAGCGGACAGCAACGTTGGTTGCTGGGGTCTGCATCTTGAATTTACATAATTTGGAATCTCCCAAACGGAGTTGCCGGTATTTCTTATAGCTCAGTCATGACAATATTTTAGAATCCCACCATTTCAAGCAGGGACAGCATTGGAGTCGTTTGGAACGTCTTCAGAATTTCTTTTCGGTACTCGTTTGTAAAGCATGTAATGCCCTACCGAAATCTGTCGTTTATGTAGTCTGAGACTGCTAGGGATCAAACGAAGAGCTAAACATGCAAATAATCCCCTGCGCAAATGCAGATGAGTCATTTCCCATGAATAACACGTCGGTCAGAGTCTTCATTGATGGTCAACGCCCAGAACACAATCCAAGTTTTTTCTCCTCGTGTAGGTGTAGACAAAGAGAAGGCACAATATTCGCCAACTTCCAACTGGTCATCATTCCTTCTGCATTTACATTGGATTTACAGTAAGTTACGGATGCGACTAGGAGTGCAACGGTGTGTACCTAACTTAACTGACAAATTTTCTGTACTTTGAATTTTCACCTTGGCCATCATACGGGTCCTTTTAAGCTTTAGCTTTATAACCGCATTAAAACACTTTTGTATTTTTCCATTCTACCAAGAGAGGATGATTAATTTTGTCAAAAATTATCTTGTCACGCACTTTAAAGTTAAGTGCATAGTGCGATCAACACCGGCTTTCTAGTATTTCGGACGTGATTGAAAATAATTAAACAGATGTGTAAATTCCGCCTGAAGTAACAATTTTATTGTACAGAAAGAAAAGATGATCACACTCTGCTGACATCATCAAATCTGCTTTCCAGATAAGTAACCTTTTCTCCAAATGCTGTACTCCTACCTATTATTTGAGTGTGGATAGTAGTATATAAGCTGAGATTGTTTACAAATTTATCAGGTAGACAATCTTCCCCATTGTAAGTTGGTTTGCTCGTGCATGTTATAACATTCGTTTATCGACAAAAATGACATTCTAGGCCGTTCAAGGAACTCACACCTGTAGCATCAGTGGTGTCTGATATTAATTGTATTGCCTTATCTCCTCCGGAAATCATTTCGATTCGTCATCTCTTGAAGCGCGAGGGTGAAAGTGCACTTCTCTTTTGCCTGGTTCCAGCCTGCCGCGTTTCCGTTCAAACATTCGTCTGGGTGTATCATTGGAGTAACGCCCCAGCTCATCTGTAGTGACGTCAAATAATAGCCGTCTTCCATTTTGCAAAATACTCCTGGTACATCCTTTAGCGTTTGTATTCAGCACTGTACAGATATTCCGAAAAAACTTTTAAAAGCAGAGGAAACTATAACAACGGAGCTCATCGGAGTTGTGTACCAAATGTCGTCAGATGACTCGATTTTTGGGGAACATCGGTGGATGATCTCTTGCGTTAACATAGTTGGAGATAATTTTCCGTACGCCTTGCGCTCTAACTGAACCGAACAATAGTTCACGTAGGTGGCTTCCCCTAACGATGCTCAGTCGTTAATTAGACTACGGGAACTTTCATGCTTATCAACACTGTGATCACTTAAGCAACACTATACCTAAGCTTTCGGTCCTTTAATTACTCCTGAAACAGTATGCCCCGTGGTTGGTTATTTTCCGTGAAATAGAAAAGCGTTAAATATTGACGTAATAGATAATTATTCCCGCTTCGCTTGGAAATCATGATGGCGTACGGACTCAGCTACAATTCCCGAAGTATTAGATGGCTACTAGAAGATTTCGGACAGTCAAGCTTGATAAATTATAATGAACTACCATCATGAACATAATATGAACACTAAACATGCATTTATCCCGCACATATTTATAATCACGGTTAAACTCTTTAACAAAGCATTACAGACTTGTATCAGATTTCCGAAACAACACCTTAGATAAGTCAAACCTAACATCACCACAGCGCTCTTTTCCACTTGCATTTCCATTAACATGTCCAATGTAAGGATTAAATGCCCTGTTCGTCCGATGAGACTGGTATAAAATACTAAGGCAAAGTCTTCCAATATGGCTGGCTGATTGATTCGCTTTTTGTTTCCAAGTAAATAACGCTGATGCCATGAAAAATAAGTCAAACATCCAGGGTCAAAAGCTCCTCGTCTACAGCGCTTCGCTCTCTTTTCAGGTACCTCTAACCTTCTGGCAATGACAAAATACATTGAAGACCAAGATGGTATAGTAGAATATCAATGACAATCAAAATAGAGACCTTGCAAATTTGCACAAAGATGTCAATCTGTATGAGCTATATACATTGAATTCGGTGAATTTATGGATCAAGATTAATGTGGTGTATTTCATCAACTAAATTCACACGTCATTGTCTATTTACTTGAAAAATAAATTATCTCTGCAATCCCTTGGTGTGATTATATCGGACCAATAATCTTGGCCGATGGATAAATCAGCGATCAGAACTCCGACGAAATCGGGATTTGGAAAGTTTGCTAAGTACGTACTGAGCACTAAAGCTCAAGTAGTGAATGTTTGCCGCCGGATCAAAGGCTGGCACCTAATCTTTTCTCGGGGGTTTTGCGGCGAACACAAGAACCACAGTTTCGATATGCTGGTAAAAACACTCAACCGCTGCCGTTCTTATCACACTGTTATTTGTATTGTGGTGGTTGCAGTTAACTTGTGTCTAACGTGATGCTGGTAATGCAAGGGGAGCAAATGTCTGCGGTTTTCGGACACCTGTTTTCAATCATAGATCCAAAGAAGGTGTGTTGTCCAATATCAGCCAGCTGCGAATCGAAATCACCGTCATCTATCTTGACTGGCCTGCAGTTGTATTTATCCTCGGCTACTGCGTTTTTATTGAGACGACAGAACTAGCATGGGATTTGATTGAAATATGACTTCTCCTGCACACCGAGCTGCACGGGCGTACAGCCATTATTTCTCATCCTGGGCATGGCGCACCTCTTATCTAACTTCCGATAAGGCCAACACGATGGGAATGAACATGAGTATGTATACGCTTTCCGGCTGGTAGTCGTCTGAGTTATTTAAGTTCCGCTGGCGCTTGCTTCATGAAACATTCAAAACTACAGCGATCCTAAAATATTCTTTTCGCTGGAGTTATGCAGAAAAAAGGATTGATTAGACATCATTTGTGGATCCTAATTTTACTCCTCTTGGCCGGGAATCACCGTCGTGTATCGAACTTGAATGTCCGTCATGAACATTTAATTTGTTAGTCATACCCAAACACCGATCCGATCATAAACGAGATTCCACTGGTTCAGATCGTCTTGTTCATGGCCTCCTAGTGAGTTTGGATTTGATTTAGGAATGTTGAAGTATACGTATGTCGAAACAGCCTAGTTCGACGTACACTTTGCTGATGTGGCGACCTTGTGATGGGTGGATTTGATGAGGTCCATGCCTTTTGCATCTAGTCTCTAACAGCGTTTGTGTCTTTAGTGTTTGACTCGGTGGAGTGGAGTATTAAGCACCTAGTAGTAACCGTCGCCTAGGTGCACGAGCAGAATAGATGGTTCTCCGAAAACCCCATATATTTATGCATTCCTGACAACCAAGTCTAAACTGTTTCACATCGGGCTACATCGCTTGGGACGATATTTATGAGATAGAAATTATGCCAAAATCGCGTGAAGCTGTCGTTAACCGGCTGAAGCCTATAGCCGCTTTCCAGTTCCAATCGTGGTGACGTTTGACTTGTCCATATCTTTTAATTTTTCAAATGATATTTGCCAAGATTTTACAGGCACGTCACTTAGCTGTTGCTAAACTTTACCCTATCACAACGAAATACAAAGCAATTCCAGGCATGATCAGCCAAAATAAATTTATCCACGTGGTTCTTGCTTTGGCTGCGTTTCTAAATACTGTTGCAACAACGTGAACCTCGCATTCGCGGTAAGCTAAACACCGGTCATGTTTACGTGTGGTCTGCTGCTAATTGGTAATCAAACTCAGTCAAACTACTTAAGGTCAGGAGACAATGTTGCAGATCTATCAGTATTAGCCATGATATATATTATGCGTCGAAAAGAAACCCGGTAAACCAGCGCGGGGCACTCACCATGACTAATGTTACGGCGTTACGCTAAATTTCGGAACAATAGAAAGCCCCATCAGCGCAGTGAATATACATGTCCAAGGATATCATATACAAAGGTATGCAGTGCGATCGTGATTGGTTTTCAGGAAGGAAACAGGTTTCGTTCAAGCAAATAAATATCACACGATTCCGTTTCACAGCGAAGCATTTCAACGGCACACCCAGAAGTAATGTCTGTTCTCACACAAGCCGAAGTTGATTGCTTGCTCACTGAACTGGACCCGTATGTTGACACGGAAGAGGAGAGGGAAGCCCTCGGTTTGAAGGCATTTACCAAGTGAGTTCCGACCACGCACTTTATGTGGTAGACTTTGAGGATAGCACCACCTAAACGCATTCCATTGCAGATACTTCGCTGAAATACCAGGGTTTGGTGAAAGATTTTGCACGGAAGATGAGAAAGATCTCAATGTTGTCCTCCACTCCGACGCCGTGAAAAATCTCGCACGGCAAGCTATTGAACATATTGTAGAGTTTATTAATGCCGCCTCTGATACCGAGAAGCTCGACGGATATCTGAGAGCGTACGCAGAATCATATGCAACTATGTTTTTGAAAAGGAAACTACACTCGGCAAGTTGCTTCCTTTTCATTGTAATTGGCACTGAAGTTACTTACAGTACACACAATGACGCTATACTTCGCTTACATTTCAGAACGCTGAACCAATCGTTATTGAGTTTTACAAGTCGATTTTGAAGAGCGCGGAGAACCAAGCTGCGATGGAGAGGCTGATGAAGCACGTATTCCAAGTGGTTCGTAGCTATTTTGATGCACGTCGAAAACTTATGTCTAAATGATGCTGGTTAGACGATTATTTGCTGGTTTTCAACCTAATATCATACCCTTCTTCATATGTTTAATGAGTTATTCCCTTGGGTGCGGACACGTGGATTCACACAGGGATACCGTGCGAAGCTTATCAATTTACGTGCATAATTGTAAGCTGTCGGTCAAATCGGCATGAAACAGTGTCATGACTTTTTTTACTGCAGATGATTAGCAATTTCAGTAGCATGGCTAGTATGAGAACCACATAAATATTGCTAAAACCATCGAGGCTTGGTTGGTCTCACCATATGTATGCGTAAATTGGCCTATCTCGAATTTGGAGACCAATGATGGTTGTTTCTTTGTTTGTTTCTTCATATGCTCTACGTATTGAACAGGTATACCACGTATTGTACGTTTGTCGCGGCAACGTCAACGCGTTTCTTATACAGTTCTAAAGCAGGAGCAGTAACAAGGCAATTTTCGAGGGAGTTCCAATTCTGCAATTCTAACCTGCTGTATTGTGTAGCTGAATAGAAAGGAAGGTTCCCTACGTTTGTATTTTTGCTAGTTTTCATTAGTTATAGGAAGACTTGGGGCGCGTATTCCAGAATCCGTTAAGCTGTAATTAGTTTGCCACATTTGCACCGATGGATCCAGCAGCACATAATCACTGTCGTCTGCCTACTGTTTTGTGGAAGGGGGGTATTTCTTTGCTGCGCATGTTGTCTTCTCACTGCCGAGTCAGAAGCGCTGTGAGCTGTCAAGCCTAGTTTGCAAATTTGACTGGTGGCTGCACGTATGTGTTAAACGCATATGGCAGGGGAAGGAAGACACTCCACAGCAGACAATAATTTTATTCCATACTGTGCGTATGATCAGTGTTATCGTATGTTGCATCGCCGTGCTGGCACAGAAATATGACAAAGTGACAGCGATCGCGCAGCCCGAGACAGGTTGTACAGTGACGCCTGCAAAACCGGTTGCAACTGCTCGTCTCCCGTTCCTTAAAATTAAGCTCAGGCATAGAATAGAGATGCCAAAGCAAGCGTATATTTGGGAGCGTATTGCCAGCTATTTGGAGAACGATCGAACAGCAGGGAAATACGTGTCGGCCAATCCAGGTGACCCAAAGTGATGGATCGCATAGGCTGTATTCCAGCGAATGCATCTCACATAATCAATAAAGAAATAAACATTTTATTCGTCGATAGTGATAAGCTCAGACCAATTGGGTGGTCTTATCGACATGTACGATGTTATCGAATACTGTAGTTCTTTTACTTGTTTTGTTCAATGGTTCCCATATTGGTTTTTGAAATGATTAGAATTCTGGAAATAGTTGAGTGATTAAGAAACTGGTAACAATAATAAATGTAGATTTCAGGGAAAGTGCAAGTAAAGTAATACGGCCATCCATAGAACTGTCCCCAGGGGACTTGTCTTCATGCAGGGTATTCCCACGATGGGTTTCACCCACACTTCCGTGCTCCAATTGTCTCTGCGCCGGCATGATGAAATAGTATATAGGCCATCAGACCTTGGTATCAAATTTCTTTTTATGGCTGTTCTATGCTTACATTATAGGCGATGAAGATGCAGCCCCTTTCGTCATGCGTATTAATCAATCGTAGCACTATTTGTTTTAAGCCAGCGAGTCAGTAGTAATATGATTTGCATGGGTACACTTTTTATTTTGGAAGCTGTAATCCGTCAACTCAAGAGATCAGCCCAGTTATGACCTACGATGAAGCAATGAAGAAGATAAAGTATGAGGAATTAAAGAACATAATAATGAATTCAAACGCCTACCGATTAGCCAAACCCAATTTGGTGGAAATTCTTGGCGAGTGCCGACGATGGTACTGAGACATCAGCTTGAAAGGCTCAGCGCAGCTACGAACCAGTGCGTCAAAGGAGAAAACAGAATTGGTTAGACGGTGTGATAGAAGCAAGACCGGTTAAAATACATGCCCAAGAAGTTTAGGTAATCTTACAATATTGAAACGAATAGAGGAAATGGCGACTTTCATATGTATCCAGGACGTTTCTCATACAATTCATCTACAGTCATCGTTTGGCTTAGTGATGACCAGATATTTGCAACAGTCAGGTGAATATTAATCATGCGTCTGAATTGCGGCTAAGTAGTGCAGTTTCTAAGACTCAATGGAAGTTTGTTCCATTTTAAAGCATATTTTACGGAGAAACATTTTGAGCCGCGCTTTGTGCACGACTTTTGTATTTGCATTGTGCGCTTGCTGTTTCTTAGTTCATAGCGCATGAGAGCATGAAACTTGTGTTGTGGCTGAGCAGTGAAGCTTAAGCCAAATAGTAAAAGGTTTAAAAGGCACAGATAAATTTTAAGTCTGCACAGCCATAGCAAATCCAGATTTAGCGCCTTTCAACGCTCACGGTATGTCATATTCTTAGGCATGTTCAAATACCACTTTGTGAATACACTTGAATGTTTTCTAGTGCTATGATTTCCACTTTTCTCAGATTACTATGCGCTATGTTACAGTACTCAAGCTTCAAACTAACATATATTTTACAGTCTTGTAACCTGGAATCTCTCAACACAAATGTTCGACTTATGTAGGTGATCACTTTTCTGGCAGCAGCCATTTACTGTTTTATCCCATCTGCTCGCAATCTAGCTTTAACTAACCCAAATACGGAAGCCAGCAGACCATCATTTCGTCATATTTGTGCATTTTTGCGCTCCCCTGTTGGGTATCGAATCCATGAGAGCCTATTCCCTCGTTTTACGACCGGCATCCCAAATAAAGGAAGAAGCTGTCGAATTGGTGTGATCATGTGACTGCTTCATTGGATTCGCAGTCGAATTCCAAATATGCTAAGTTCTTCTATATAGATGCAATCACAGAAGCGACAGTATTCGTCAAATTGTGCTGTTTGAGGTGCGCACCGAACCACGTGACCTTGCCCTCAACGAGCATCGAAAAGACCTAGTTACTTATCGAGACCAGGCACACGATTACCAATCATCTAGTTCCCGCACCTACGATGTCTGATTTATAACTTTGCATCAATCTACATAGCCACGATTTTCAATGGAACTTGGGTATCAATTCGTTTGGAAAATTTATGATCAGCTTTTCTCGACAATATGGTGCGACGCTTCTCATAGGACAAAAACTCGCTTAATCACTGGTCTCATCGAATCGGTCCAGTTCGAAGAAATTTACTAAACGTTAGGCTCAAACTAAATTCAGCACAGAACATTTGTTTTACAGGATAATAATAGTAATAACAATAAACTTGGTTGTCTTTCAGTTTAAGTGAGATAGTGCTTCCATAGTTGGCGTAGATTAAATATGCTCAGGTAGTAGCATGCTCCTACGTAGGCAACATGAGTTTGTAGAGAATATAACACAACAGTATATTCCTCGTCGGTGCAAAGTAAAACCGAGTCGAAGTTACCATTCTTGATATACGGCAGATTCGCAAGGAGCAATAATTATATCCTTTTAATTTTTCAAAGCAGTCATCAAACCATTTGTGGACGTGGTAAGTTGATGGATTATATAGCGTAGTATTAAGATATAATAATTTGTATAATTAAAATGTATAAGTGAAGTGATACGGCCATGGATGGAACTGCCTCCTGGTGATCTGTTTTCATTCGGGCTGTTCTCCCGCGATGTATTTCACCCACACTTCCAAGCCTCATTTGGCCCGTGTGCTGGTGTAGCTTTTAAAGCAAGTAAGCCAGCACTTATGTGCCGCATCATTATGGTTGTAGTTCTGTGTACATAGTGTGGACAGTCCAGCCACCTAGCCCGCATGATAAATTGGTATGTTTAAGCAAAGCACTTTTATCGTCTGGGAACCAATGGCAATGTGCCTTGCATGGGTATAAGTATTAGAGTTGGAAGCGTAAATCGATTACCTCAGAAGAATGACCCAGTCTTGGCCAAAATTACCATAAAGAATAATATAAAATATTTGTGCAAGAAAGACCAACTGACCAAAATGTGCAGAGGAAGTGTCGAAAACTGATAGGGGTTCGAAGTTTCGAAATGCTACACAGTTCTAGGAATAAATATCAGATGCATCGTCATTCGCTTGCGTTCATAAAGCACTGGAATCGATGGCCGTGATCAAGGGGAATTTTCTCTGTTCCTGGACTGTCACTTATGGGATAGGAGAAGTAATACTAACAGTACACTAAAAGTGTAGAATGCCGGCCATGAGTAAACAAAAATACATGTGTATTTTATATCTCGATAGTGCGAAACACGGACCGTGTGGTTAGTCCGATCGCATTGGTAATTTAATTGTCAAGAAGGGTTTTCGTTCAATCCGTTCCTTAAGAAAGTGTTCACGATTCGATTTTCCAGCGGTTCAACCATACAAGACAGGCGAGATGTGTTTAGTTTTCACTAATCAAGCTGTAATTTGTTCGTTTTTTACTTTGGATAGAAAAGAGAGATACAAGTGCAGAGCAAGTTGGATTTATTAATAAAAGTGTAGTAGAGGTGGGTTGACCTCAACTCAACCAGGTTGGGACTTTGATATATGGTGTTCGGTCTTGCCTCCGATTAGGTGGCTCTACTCAGATCGCAATTTATTCACTGTCAATTATCTGTTAATTAGAGTTGGAAAAACACTATTTGAGACACACTTTCACAGATTCGGTTGTGGTTTGTTCCACAGGACTGCAAAGAGCTAAAGAAAGAAATTTAATCTTAAGCTAGTTCGTGCCTTTTCCGATTTGTAACTTGCGATATATACTCCATTTATTATACATGAATGCATATTGAATTATTACCTCAGTGTCTGAGGTAATGACGCGTCTGTGGATTATATCAAACATGAAGTTCAAGTTAAGTTTGAGCAAGTTTCGAGTAGGAGACTAATACAGGTGTTATACAGGTAGATTAGCACTTATTCAAAATAAAGGGTTTTAGTATTAACCCACATAGTTTACGGAGTTCTGCAATAGTATAATATACCTGTTGAAGGAGCTGGAGTAGTGTAACGCATGATCGCGGGTAGAAAG